TTTTTTTTATATTTTCCTAACTAAGATCCGTTCAAATTCTTATGATAATTCGACGTATACTTTTAAGACCGTGGAAGCTTTTGCGCAGAAATTAGAATCACTCGTATGGGCAGTCATACATAAGTAGGGGACGTATTCCCCCTCTTTCATTGAGTGATAAAGGACTAGTAGTTGAATTTTACCATTTAATGAGTAGGCCGTTAAATTACCATTGAATTTCACATAGCCATGTTTCACAAAAGGTATTCTCCTCCAGGCAGGAGTGGATTGCGGTTTCTACCTTGCCTAGATTTCATCAGCAACCCCAAAGGCACTCCTGTCAGTTTTTCGTATTGGTTTACGTGGTTTGACTGTACCCTTCGCTACCCGAGTTATATTTCCGCTGGGAGTTAAGATGAGACCTCTGCGAGGTCGAAACTGTATTATATACCCTTAATAAGAATACCTTTTGGGAAGCAAGAAAATGTGAAATTTAATGGAAACATAAGGCTTCCTTATATGATTGCGCAAAAACTAAATACTATTCCTTGGTAACTTTAAACAAAATAGATTGAATACCTTTCATATATACGATCTATTGGTAGTCTCGAAAACCTACTTATCAACGAAAGACACACAAGTAGGGACTCGTTAGAATGTAGAAGAAAGGCCTATGTGGAATTTAGCCACTGCTCTTCTAAAAAGGGAATAAAAAATAAATTCGAAGAATATCTTATGCAAATAAGCAGTTTTCAGGTAAGTAAGGGTACCTTAGTCATCTTTTGCAAGTTACTTTGCCTATTCCTAACAGAGTAGAATAATACCCTCTGCTAAAGGTAGAAGAAATCACCTAAGTACACTATTTGTTTGGTGCTAATTAGTATAGATAAATAGGTATTCTGTTAAAAATTCACTTAAAAACAATCTACGCAATCACGAGAAGTAAGGAGAGCAACCAGCCCTATGCCGGAAATCACGAATACTACGGCAGTGATCCCAGAACTATGTACGTTCCATAAGGTCTCCCTGACGCTCCGACCAAGTTGCGAAAGCAAGGTTGAACCAACACTATAAGGTTAAAGGAGACTGCGTCCAGATAGAAGGCTGCATCATCTTGGTTTTCGTATCTACGATCTAATTACGGTGGTAAGATTGTCAGTCAATGCACTCATTACAGCAGATCAAAGAGACCAATCCTAAGTCAATTTTGTCACTGAACTTTTCTTAACTGCTGTAAAAGTTATGGC